TCAGTAACTCTGAAGTTCCTATTTCTTTATCAAAAATTACTAAACAGTAGTTATAAAGTTATCAGTGACTGCTTACACAACAGTAAATGCTGTTTTCTGCTACTTATAATGGGTTGATGACTCTATGGCACCTATAAAGAAAAGAGCTATAATAGGTTTGTTTGAGTACCTCTCCATTCCATTTTAAAAGCTACAGAGTGTTGAGGGCCAATTGCTTTCAATACTTTGAGAGGTATAGTGATACTGGCCTACTTAAAATCTACTATTTAAAATGCTTTTATACCCCCTCCCCTGCAAACAGAGTTTAGGGGGATAACATTGAAATCAGCATGTCAATATGCAAGTTTCGAGATTATCTCCCTTGGTGCGCTCTTTCGTTGAGGAGGGGAGTTTCGTTGCCGCGTAAACAAACAGGTGGGACAGTTATTTATATATTGGATATATCGCATCATCTATATATACTGGTTTATCATAGCTACATAATTGTAAAGATGCACTTTTCAACTCGAGAATAACTGAATTAATGTAAAGGCGTCCTTTTTTAAAGAAAAAAATCGGAACAAAAAGAAAATATCAATGGATGTGAGACTTTTCAGACGAGGGAAGAGATATTGGACCTCTAATAAATACGGTACACATGCGTCTTATCATTGCACGCCGGCAATTTAAATGACACATTGATTATTTTCCTTATTATAACTTTAAAAAAAATCACTAACTTTTTAGAAAATGTTTGTACAATCAAGAAAATCTTTTACTTTTTATAAAGACCACGACGCTTATTTCGTTTTCAAGTACCCTATAATTAAAAGTATATTTGTAAATATACACAGTTGAGCTTGATAAAATCATAAAATGCATCACTGCTTAACATTATTAACTTTCTATAAATTTAAATAATTTTTAAAAGCCATAAACATCGTTCATTTATTTATGCACGTTTGTGTACAGAAAGAACCTGTCCCACCTCCATGCTGAAATGGATACGTTTTGCGCCTCTATCGTAGGAGAGTTACAATCTCGAAACCCGCGTATTGATCTGTCTGTCTGTCTGTATAAGCACAATCTTCTAGCTTGGAGACTACTGCTTTGATTTGTCTGAAAAATTTTGTACTTATAAAATTTCTAAGAAGCAGTCACAGGCACTTGTTTAGGAAATAAAATTTTATTGTTGGTTAAAAATTTATTTAGGAAACATTTAATGTCCGTGGAAGCAGTATAGGAAAAGAAGAGACTTTATATGATTTTAAAAAATCTGTTCTCTAAATGCTATACTGACAAACTGGCCCCCACTCCTAAAAAATAACAGAGTGCTGAAACCTAAGATTATGACATATTGGCGCAAGAGTCTTTAAGCATTTTTCCCCAAGAAAACATTGCTTTTATTGAGAAGAAACAAATATATTTGTTACAGCACAGGAAAAGGGGATTTTATTTTACCAATTAAATACATATGATTTTTCAGCATGACAAATTGTGTTGGAAATGCATGTAAACCTATAAAACCTCCCCTCTATTAATTTACAAGACTAAGCTCTGAAACTGACCAAGTAGATTCAACAAATACGGTACCTGTTGCACAAAGTTAATTACAACAATCAAAACATTTTTTTCTATAAATCTCTCTAAATATAAAAAACGCATTTTTGATGGAATGTAAAGATTTTATCAATCTAGTTTTATCCTATCTGTAAAGAAGAACGTACCACTACAGCTGTTTCTCCCTAGGTGGATGATCATACTCCCTATTTCAACCTGCAAAGTTTAATTAGATTAAATGCAAGGATTGGCATCAGGGTGAATGAAATTACATTCCTGGGCCATATGTTTCCAATAATTCTAATGTTGATTTTTCCTTGTTTTCTGATTCCACTCCCCTGTTAGAGACAGTAATATTATCAATATAGTATTGGTACGCTTCACCTTAAAACAAAAGCACATATTGAATGATTGGTACAGCTTTCCAGTATAATTTATCAATGAAATGCATGCCCCCTGCTGATATTCAGGTTTAAAACAAAAGTGTGGAAATAGCAATTATAGGTGGAAATGACATAAAAATAAAATGTCTTATTGGAGCTTTCATTTTCTATACCACGTACAACATATTGGCCTAGAGTACCTATATGTTGCAAAAAAAAGATCGATCATTGACATGCACAGCAGTAAAAATCGATCAGTGCTTGATTTGAAATTGAACAAAACACAAATTTTAGGAAAAAGAGGTCAAATTTAAAAGAAAGGTCAAGGAAAAATGTTAATACAATTGAATACCTGCCATCAATATGTAAATAAGCCGAAAAAGATTGAGTTAAATAGCTTGAATCGTTTCTTAAAAGTTTAACGAAATACAAATTTGATGTCCGACAGGGTTGCCAGAAGAAAAGGTCAAGGTAAAAAATGTTAATGCATTGAGATCGGGAAATTTCAAACAGAGAAACTCATTTAAGTCTATGACACATTAGTGAGCTAACATAACTTTGTTTGTAAAAGAAATTTCTCTAACCTGAGATCAGCAAACTAAATAATATCACTTACAGGTAATACTATTATAATTAAGCCATAAATTTATACCTGTACTCTTATGAAAACAATTAAACTCTGTCTTTTGATTTAAAAAAATGATTGAGAAGAAAATTTCACTTCACAAAATCTGAAATGTTCATATTCAGCACTGTATGATTGTTTTGATGCAAACAGCTCCATTTTCTGAACCTATACTAGCCGTTCTCTTTAATTTAGATCTGCACATAATTAGCAGGTACAGAATGTCAGACATTAGATATTTATTACTACATGACAGGCATTATCTTAGGAGTACATTAAATATTCATTAAGAAGACAACTTATTGATCATACTACACACCGTTTCCATCTTTAACGACGTTCGATCCTGATATTTAAAGTCTTAAACTTTTTTTGCCAAGTATATTTTTAGTTTCTACATACATAGCTTAACTAAATTCAAATAAAAAAATGGGGGTCAATACGCTTCTTTTGGCGCTACAGTACATTTAACATGACCTTTTTGCACTGAAATTTGTGTACAATTAAGAATTACATCTTCGACGTTTTCCCTCCAATATTTTTATCCAATTAAAGCATGAAACAAAATGAACTCTAAGTCTGTTTGAAAAAAGAAACTTTAAAATTCTGATTAAGAAAAAGTTTCAAATTGCTACGCATAATCAATTATTTGACCTTTCTGCACTAATAAAATGTGATTTTTCTGGCCTTAAAAATTTGATAAGCAAGAAAATTATTTTAAAGTCTTAAACTTTTTCTGATTTTAAGCAAATAAGTCAAAGTTATCTTGAATATTTAGAAAAAAAACATCAAAAGTGGGGGTATATGATGTAAATTTTCAGATATTACTAAAAAAGTGTCAATTTTACGTTAAAATTGGCTCAATTTTTTCCCGGATTTTCAGACTATATTTACTATATTTGTCACACTTTGTTGATAGAATTCATAAGAAATAGTTTAATAGATATTTCAGAACCAGCATAACACATTTCGCCGCAAAAAACAGCTTTGTGTGCAACCAGCATGGAAAAATAGGAAGCTAAAATTAACAGTACTGTTATAGTTCAAAAGAGGGAAAACTGATCATTTTCGTCTAAAAAACTTTCCGCCACAAAATATAGTCCCTAGCTTAATTCTACTTGAATGGAATTTAATCGCAGTTTTTTCATTCAATATAGTTCAATCTGCATTGAAGAATTCAGATTTAATGTTAGAACTAAAAAATGATTCAGAATTTTATAAATAAAGGACATGACCAAAATCAACTCAAAATCTCAGGATCGAACGTCCTTAAATGCAGCACAGCTTTTTAACTAATATGTCAGCTAGGAAAATTCCCCTATAGCTGTCATCCTAATCAATAATAAAACTATGGCTATTACACATGCTAGAAAAAGTGAAAATTTATATTAAATGTTTTCTATATCTGGAAGTCATTATAAAACTGAACTGTCGTAAGAAAGGATCAAATTATATTTACCTCACATGGAAATCCATGAGGACATTCTCTCCACCTTCAAGCAGCTTTCCTGTTAGCAACTGTTCCACCAGGGGTGAATGATTTTACAGACAGCTGAAGGCATTGTAGCACTGTCAAGGTTCTAGGTCACTGTATTCCCAGGCATCCACTTTGTAGAAGTATAGCTGATACACCTGTGATGAGATGTAAAACATAAATAAAAATATATGCCTGTAGGGCAAATAAAAGCAATCCAATGTACCATTGCCACATCTCCAAATGACTTACAAGTTTACCATATGTTTACAAGGGATGAAATGTACATATCATATTTACATTGTAAATAATGCTGTGCCAGCTAAAGCAAAGCAGTAAATAGTTATAATCATTGTATTCATGCACAATGGCAAAGAAAATGTCAAATCAAAACATCTCCCAATCCAATTTTATCTCACATTTATAGGTCTTTGTTAGAGATGTGACTTCCTTTCTATAGCATCGACACAAAGGGGCACATGGGATAGACTACTAAATAAAAATACTTTTTCAATTATCGTACATTTATACTGTATAAGTACAGTATACAAATTGGTCTATTCAAAATTAAGCACAATCACTGGGTGCTGAGTATAGTTGGCATATTCCTGAATTAGTGCTACACACTTCTGCAACGTATACTACATATTTAATATATGATTTCTTAGCAGTATTCAGATAAAATAGAAATATATTTATTTCCATGATAATTAAGTCAAATATTTTTTCTTCTGTGATATGTTAATTAATTGTTCCTTAAAATACTATTTAATGAATATGCAAATTATCCCTGTTTATTATGTTCCCCAAACGAAGTTGGGGAACATATTGTTTTTACTCTGTTTCTTATTATGTCGCCCCGAACGAAGTCGGGGACGACATATTGATATTGTACGCATGTTTTTTTTATCCAGGCTGTTTCTCGGAGATGGCTGGGACAATCTTCCTGAAACTTTCCTCAAAGGACGATCACTGGTTGTAGTTGTGCAGTGAGGTTGTTCAGTGGTCCCTTAATCGTTCGTCATGAAACTTTTCTTATTTTAATGATTAGTATCTGTAGTTATGCAACTCGCATTTAAAATTTTCAAATAATCGATTATTGCCATGGAAACCAGGTGAAAGTCAAAATTATTTAATTTCGATTTTCTCAATAACTACGCAGGCAATCGTTTTGAAACTTTCAGTGTTTATTCCTTGCAATGTGTCAAAGTGATTTCTACTTTTAAAAAAATTGTAATGAGTCGCTCACAGTTGCCATAGAAACGAAACAGAAAAAAAGATTCAGATGTACACTGTGTTCTCCAAGGTCTAGGTCAAAGGGTCAAAGTTCTTGGTGTCCAATAAAAGTTCTTTTCACAAGGATTACATATTTGAAATACGAAAGCCCTAGCCCTTACCGTTCAAACGTAAGGTACTATGTTCAAGACACCCCCCCCCCCCCTTTTTGAAGCGCACTGCCAGGTAGAATACACAGATATAACATATACAATTTACAGGTAACGTTTTAAAAGTTTCATTCATAAAATTCAGTTCTCCTGAAGTGATTTGATAGTTTGCCAACAGTCATTCTTCTTCTGTCTTGTCTCTAGATTTTATAATTATTTTGTTTTTTCTATATAAAAAATAACGATTGTCAACTTCATTTATTAGCATTTTGCGTTGTTTGGTATATCTATTACTCGTATATTATTAATTTCATTAAATAGTGCAAGAATAAATTAGAAAAATTGGTACGTTATTTCCATAGTTTTTATTCATTCATAAATCTTTGGATCCGCTCCTATACAGGTGCGCTAAGCCTTGATCACTACTGTAAACAAAACATTCATGTCGCCGAAAATATTCATGATTCCGCTAAACTGAGAAAGTTTACACATGATTTATCATCTCATAAGAAACATCAGACCTCTACACTGCAGAAATGCTCGAATTGAAGGGGAAAATTCAGGAGTTATTGATGGGAAAAATTCAGGAGTTATTATTATGTCGCCCCGAACGAAGTCGGGGACGACATATTGATATTGTACGCATGTTTTTTTTATCCAGGCTGTTTCTCGGAGATGGCTGGGACAATCTTCCTGAAACTTTCCTCAAAGGACGATCACTGGTTGTAGTTGTGCAGTGAGGTTGTTCAGTTCCAATATGTCTACCGTTGCCATGGAAACCTGTAAAAAGCGACAAATTTTGTCCGAGAGTGTTCTCTCTGGTCCCTTAATCGTTCGTCATGAAACTTTTCTTATTTTAATGATTAGTATCTGTAGTTATGCAACTCGCATTTAAAATTTTCAAATAATCGATTATTGCCATGGAAACCAGGTGAAAGTCAAAATTATTTAATTTCGATTTTCTCAATAACTACGCAGGCAATCGTTTTGAAACTTTCAGTGTTTATTCCTTGCAATGTGTCAAAGTGATTTCTACTTTTAAAAAAATTGTAATGAGTCGCTCACAGTTGCCATAGAAACGAAACAGAAAAAAAGATTCAGATGTACACTGTGTTCTCCAAGGTCTAGGTCAAAGGGTCAAAGTTCTTGGTGTCCAATAAAAGTTCTTTTCACAAGGATTACATATTTGAAATACGAAAGCCCTAGCCCTTACCGTTCAAACGTAAGGTACTATGTTCAAGACACCCCCCCCCCTTTTTGAAGCGCACTGCCAGGTAGAATACACAGATATAACATATACAATTTACAGGTAACGTTTTAAAAGTTTCATTCATAAAATTCAGTTCTCCTGAAGTGATTTGATAGTTTGCCAACAGTCATTCTTCTTCTGTCTTGTCTCTAGATTTTATAATTATTTTGTTTTTTCTATATAAAAAATAACGATTGTCAACTTCATTTATTAGCATTTTGCGTTGTTTGGTATATCTATTACTCGTATATTATTAATTTCATTAAATAGTGCAAGAATAAATTAGAAAAATTGGTACGTTATTTCCATAGTTTTTATTCATTCATAAATCTTTGGATCCGCTCCTATACAGGTGCGCTAAGCCTTGATCACTACTGTAAACAAAACATTCATGTCGCCGAAAATATTCATGATTCCGCTAAACTGAGAAAGTTTACACATGATTTATCATCTCATAAGAAACATCAGACCTCTACACTGCAGAAATGCTCGAATTGAAGGGGAAAATTCAGGAGTTATTGATGGGAAAAATTCAGGAGTTATTATTATGTCGCCCCGAACGAAGTCGGGGACGACATATTGATATTGTACGCATGTTTTTTTTATCCAGGCTGTTTCTCGGAGATGGCTGGGACAATCTTCCTGAAACTTTCCTCAAAGGACGATCACTGGTTGTAGTTGTGCAGTGAGGTTGTTCAGTTCCAATATGTCTACCGTTGCCATGGAAACCTGTAAAAAGCGACAAATTTTGTCCGAGAGTGTTCTCTCTGGTCCCTTAATCGTTCGTCATGAAACTTTTCTTATTTTAATGATTAGTATCTGTAGTTATGCAACTCGCATTTAAAATTTTCAAATAATCGATTATTGCCATGGAAACCAGGTGAAAGTCAAAATTATTTAATTTCGATTTTCTCAATAACTACGCAGGCAATCGTTTTGAAACTTTCAGTGTTTATTCCTTGCAATGTGTCAAAGTGATTTCTACTTTTAAAAAAATTGTAATGAGTCGCTCACAGTTGCCATAGAAACGAAACAGAAAAAAAGATTCAGATGTACACTGTGTTCTCCAAGGTCTAGGTCAAAGGGTCAAAGTTCTTGGTGTCCAATAAAAGTTCTTTTCACAAGGATTACATATTTGAAATACGAAAGCCCTAGCCCTTACCGTTCAAACGTAAGGTACTATGTTCAAGACACCCCCCCCCCCTTTTTGAAGCGCACTGCCAGGTAGAATACACAGATATAACATATACAATTTACAGGTAACGTTTTAAAAGTTTCATTCATAAAATTCAGTTCTCCTGAAGTGATTTGATAGTTTGCCAACAGTCATTCTTCTTCTGTCTTGTCTCTAGATTTTATAATTATTTTGTTTTTTCTATATAAAAAATAACGATTGTCAACTTCATTTATTAGCATTTTGCGTTGTTTGGTATATCTATTACTCGTATATTATTAATTTCATTAAATAGTGCAAGAATAAATTAGAAAAATTGGTACGTTATTTCCATAGTTTTTATTCATTCATAAATCTTTGGATCCGCTCCTATACAGGTGCGCTAAGCCTTGATCACTACTGTAAACAAAACATTCATGTCGCCGAAAATATTCATGATTCCGCTAAACTGAGAAAGTTTACACATGATTTATCATCTCATAAGAAACATCAGACCTCTACACTGCAGAAATGCTCGAATTGAAGGGGAAAATTCAGGAGTTATTGATGGGAAAAATTCAGGAGTTATTATTATGTCGCCCCGAACGAAGTCGGGGACGACATATTGATATTGTACGCATGTTTTTTTTATCCAGGCTGTTTCTCGGAGATGGCTGGGACAATCTTCCTGAAACTTTCCTCAAAGGACGATCACTGGTTGTAGTTGTGCAGTGAGGTTGTTCAGTTCCAATATGTCTACCGTTGCCATGGAAACCTGTAAAAAGCGACAAATTTTGTCCGAGAGTGTTCTCTCTGGTCCCTTAATCGTTCGTCATGAAACTTTTCTTATTTTAATGATTAGTATCTGTAGTTATGCAACTCGCATTTAAAATTTTCAAATAATCGATTATTGCCATGGAAACCAGGTGAAAGTCAAAATTATTTAATTTCGATTTTCTCAATAACTACGCAGGCAATCGTTTTGAAACTTTCAGTGTTTATTCCTTGCAATGTGTCAAAGTGATTTCTACTTTTAAAAAAATTGTAATGAGTCGCTCACAGTTGCCATAGAAACGAAACAGAAAAAAAGATTCAGATGTACACTGTGTTCTCCAAGGTCTAGGTCAAAGGGTCAAAGTTCTTGGTGTCCAATAAAAGTTCTTTTCACAAGGATTACATATTTGAAATACGAAAGCCCTAGCCCTTACCGTTCAAACGTAAGGTACTATGTTCAAGACACCCCCCCCCCTTTTTGAAGCGCACTGCCAGGTAGAATACACAGATATAACATATACAATTTACAGGTAACGTTTTAAAAGTTTCATTCATAAAATTCAGTTCTCCTGAAGTGATTTGATAGTTTGCCAACAGTCATTCTTCTTCTGTCTTGTCTCTAGATTTTATAATTATTTTGTTTTTTCTATATAAAAAATAACGATTGTCAACTTCATTTATTAGCATTTTGCGTTGTTTGGTATATCTATTACTCGTATATTATTAATTTCATTAAATAGTGCAAGAATAAATTAGAAAAATTGGTACGTTATTTCCATAGTTTTTATTCATTCATAAATCTTTGGATCCGCTCCTATACAGGTGCGCTAAGCCTTGATCACTACTGTAAACAAAACATTCATGTCGCCGAAAATATTCATGATTCCGCTAAAC